GGGGGGGGGGGGGGGGCAGAATTACTCCCACATAGATATTTTTTAATATCCTGGAAGCTCCCCCAGGAAAACATCTGAACTCTCCAAGATTTGGCTAGCAAAGGCAACTCCAGACGATGGTGACACCCTTTTACTTGCTCTGCGTGGCGTCCCTCCCTCACTGCCGCCGAGTCCATTCCGACTCCGGGGGGCTCCCTGGGACAGGGCAGGACAGCCTCTGGGGGCTTCCGAAGCTGTAACTCTCGACAGGGCGAAGAAGCCTTCTCTGTGTCCCTCCGAGTGGCTGATCATTGCTGACCTTGCAGCCGCCCAGCGCATAACCCACTAGGCCACCAGGGCTCCCTGTGGTATCCGTAGTGCCTAGAATTGTGCCCGGCACCTAGTAGGTGCTGGATGAACCTCTGTGGACAGCTACATGGATAGGTGACTGGAGGCGAAGGAGGCAATTGTTTTATCCCGGAGAGACACTGCATGGAAATGGTCTCAGAGTGTCCCTGAGGTCAACCTCTACTTCCTTAACCTGCCGTGGCATTTTCCACTCATGAGCTCTGTCTCTGCTTTCCCTTCTCACCCCCCAAGAGGCTTCTTCTCTGAGTATGGGGGTTGGGTTAAGCCAGAGAGAAGAGTAGGGTAAGTCCAAGTCGGGTCCATGTTAAACTTTTCAAGGAAAAGTTGAAGGTTTGGGTAAGGTCTGGGCACCTGGTTGGAAATCCCAGCCTTTCTTGCGGTCACTGGTGTGACGTTGTCACCTCTCTGCCCCATGGGTGGAGTGAAGGCCGCAGTAGGCTGCTAACTGGACAGCTGGCAGTGGCACAGCACCAGCCGTTCTGTGGGAGGAAACTGAGGCTTTCTACTCCCAGGCAGATGGATGCGGAAACCTACAAGGGCCTGGGCAGTTCTACTCTGTCCTACCCAGTCTTATGAGTCGGAATCAACTCCGTGTCCGTATTTTGGAAGTGTCCGCACCCTCTTTTTTTTTTAATCATCTTATTAGGGGCTCAGACAACTCTCATCACAATCCATCCATACATCATGTCAAGCACATTTGTACATTCATTGCCCTCGTCATTATCAAAACATTTGCTCTCCACCCAAGCCCCTGGCATCAGCTCCTCATTTTTCCCCTCTCTCCCCTCTCCCTCATGAACCCTTGATAATTTATAAATTATTATTTTGTCATATCTTGCTCTGTCTGACGTCTCCAGCGCCCTCTTAGATCATTTCCATTTGCACAACCTAGAGCAGATGGTTTCGCCAAGACTGTCCTAGCTCCCACACAATATACTGCCGGCGATGTCACTCTTTCTCGCCCCCGAGAAAGAGCCTAGGAGCCGGAGCTTCAGGGAAATCCAGCGTTGGCTTAGATTTCCTCGAACGTATCAGAAAACGACCCAGAAAATAACACTTGAGCCCTTCCCCTATTCCTGGTAGCATCGTTCTTACTGGGGACCATCTGCCTAGCTCATTCCCACTTTGGAGAATCTCAGAGGTGGATGACCAGGGAGGTGGATGACCAGGTGGATGACCAACAAGACTCCCTGCCTTGTTGGTGCTGAGCCAGCTTTCAGGCTGCTCAGGCGCTCAGCTCTCTGAAGGCCCCCCACCAGTCGCGCCATGTCTCCATAGACTTATCATGGTCCCTTTCTCACTTCTTTGCCCATGTTGACTCTTCTTCTTGGACAGTAAGTCCCATAGTCCTCTCCTTTTCCCCAAAAGCTTAACTACACATATTCCTTGTATCCTAGCCCTTCCCAAGGGTCTAATCCCAGAAGCCTCCCCCCATGAGTATAAGCAAACGGGGTGTCTTGCCTTTTCCTGGAGGCCGATGATGGCTTTTCAATATGTCAGGTCTCAGAAGCAGGGGGACACCTTGGCTCACTGGATCACCGCATTCTCCTCCACCGGTTTTATACCTGGAAGTGCTGTGTCATCTAAAAGAGGAAGGTCAACAGGTGAGCCTCTTCCAAGACCACTTGACCCCCACAAAACTCTGTCCCAACAGTTGCTCTCTCTCTCAGAATCCAAATCACAATGGTCCTTTCTGGCTTCTTCCTACTTTGGCGTTACCAGTACCCTATGGCGTTTCTTTCCCACGGGCAGCTCTTCCAATACCAGTGCTGTGCATGCATCCGCATCTTGCTCCCTCTGTTCGTTCTTCAGTTGCTCCTTCCCCATCTTTCCTCTTAAGGCCCCTGGCTGAGTTCATTTCCGGTTCTTTCGAGGAAGCTCCAGCTTAAGCAGACTATTTAAAGAATTTCTTGATTTCCTCTGGCCCATCAGGTTCGTGCTGATGAGCATGACCGTGGGGCAAAGGATCCAGAAACCCTCCCAGAATCTCAGAGGGAGACCAGAGAAGCTCGGGTCTGGATCTGCCCCGCTAGTCATTCCTTCACTCAGGGGGCTGTGCCTGCCTGCACATCCCCTCTTCCCACGGCGAGTGTCTCACCCAGCTCCAGGACTCCATCCTCTCTCGGGGTAACTTGGAAGCAGATACAGAAAGATAGGGAGATACAGGGAATGCCTTTGCCTCTCCTCAGGGAATGTGTGGGTCTAATCTCTGGTGAGACACTGGCTACCCTACCATCAGAGACCCTCTTTCTCTCCTCTGGCTACCCTACCATCTGGCTACTCTACCCGACACTGGTAACTTCTGGGTACCCTACCCGACACTGGCTACCCTACCATTGGAGACTCTCCATCTCTTCTCTGGCTACCCTACCATCTGGCTACCCTACCTGACGCTGGTAACCTCTGGGTACCTTACCCAACACTAGCTACCCTACCATCGGAGACCCTCCTTCTCTCCTCTTGACCCAGGAGGAGGAGTGGGACCCTCAGCCAAGTGTTTCTCCCAGAAAGAACCTCTCCTCTCATAGCTTTTTACTCACTGGTCCCACGTCTTTGCTTTGCTATTCAAGTGATCTCTCTACATTGGGGGGTTGTTTTGGGTGCTTGATGCACATGAAAAGAAGGCAGCATCTTTTAGTCCTACCAAATTACCATGTGACATTTTACTACCCATATTTGATTAAACAACAAACACTCACTTTAAAGGCAAATAGTTCCAGAGAGGGCTGTTCTCATAATCCTAAATTCTGGGAAGGTTCTCTGTTCCTCATCCCCATCTCCAGCCATGTCGAGTTGATTGACAGGCCAGAAAAGAGAGCATCCTTTCTTCTAGAAGTGTCTGGGTAACTTCCGAGATCCTCTGGAGCCTCTCAATAGGCCTCTTCCTGCCTCCTGTGCAGTCTCAGCCCTTCCTGGGTGTTAAGGTTGAGAGTGTTGGTCTTATCTGTTAGGGCTGAGGCTCTTTTGGAAATAGTGGTTATTTCCCATAGGAAACAAAAACTAACACAGCTCCTTGACCGTAGTAGGCTGATAGAATGCAAAGACGCAAGTTGGATGTGCCCATAAAATTTTGCTAGCTGATGATTCAAGCAGAGATTGCTGACCTTCCACTGAGATCAGATCTCCTTTTGGGGGGGGGGGGTCCCTTTCTCTCCATTCTGTCATCCCAGTCTCAGTTGAAGTCATCATCTTTAATGATGGTGTCCCTGGGGTCACTAGAGTAGAAGGGAGAATTCAGACTAAACTGGTTTACAGAAGTATAAGAGTTCTGTATCTCACTGAAGACAAACGTGTGCAAAGGTGATGAAGAAAGCTGATGGTGCCCAGCTATCAAAAGATATAGCACCTGAGGTTTTAAAGGCTTGAAGATAAACAAGCGGTCAACTGGCTCAGAAGCAACAAAGCCCACATGGAAGAATCACAACAGCATGTGTGACCACAAGCTCTCGAAGGGATCAGGTATCAAGCACCCAAGAACAAAAAATCATATCATTGTAAAGGTGGGTGAGTGCAGAGTGGAGACGCAAAGCCCATTTGTGGGCCGCTGAACACCCCCTTACTGAGGGGTTTTGGGGAGGAGACGAGCCAATCAGGGTGCAGGGTAGCAGCTATGAAACATATAACTTTCCTCTAGTTCTTTAATGCTTCCTCCCCCACAAATATCATGATCCCAATTCTACCTTACAAATCTGGCTGGACCAGAGGATGTACACTGGTACAGATAGCAACTGGAAACAAAGGGAATCCAGTATAGATGACTCCTTCAGGACCAGTGGTGAGAGGGGCGATGCCTGGAGGGTGAAGGGAATGTGGGGTAGAAAGGGGGAACCAATTATAAGAATCTAAGTATTGCCTCCTCCCTAGGGGATGGACAGCAGGGAAGAGGGCGGAGGGAAACATCGGACAGGGTAACTTATGACAAAACTACAATAATTTATGAACTATGAAGAGTTCATGAGCGGGGGAGTGGGGCAGGAGGAGAAAATGAGCAACTGATATTAGGGGCTAGAGTGGGAGGCAAATGTTTTGAGAATGAGGAGGGAACAAATGTGCATATGTTCTTGACCCAATGGATGTATGTATGGATTGTGATGAGAATTGTAAGAGACCCCAAGAAAATAATTTTAAAAAAAGAGTTCTGTATCTCACACCCATGTGACTTCAACACTCTTGACCTCATACCCCTTTTGACCTCACAGCCACCTGAATGGGCAGTGCAAGATATCAAGTCCAATGCAGATGGGTTATCAGTAATTTCTCCAGGTGAGGTTTGTCTCTGTCACACAGCACCATTCACAATCACTCCACTCCCCATTCATGAAATGCTTTGAGCTCTTGCTCAGAGTAAGACACTGCTCTGGGCACTAGGGATATGAACAAGTCAGAGAGTTAATTAAGTCCATCAGTGAACTAGCCAGGTGATTGAAAATGATATCCCCCATGAAGGAAGGAGAACAAGAGACGTTAGAGAGGGACCAGCAGGGACATTTTGTTTAAAGATGAGGCTCTCAGGAAAGGTGTGGTCTGTAAAGGGGTATTCGAAGGAGCCAGCTTCAACGTACAAGGGTTATAGGAAAGGAAATAGCAAATACTCAAGGGCTGCAGAGGGAACCTGATCTCTGAGTCGACAACAACAACAGCAACAACCAAACCAGAAAGGAGGCCAGTGTGAGTCGGGGTGGAAGGGAGGTCAGGCTGTTCAAACTCGCAGAGGTCAGCCTTGTGGTTGGTGATCACAGAGAGCCGGGAATGCGTTTGAAAGTGCTGGCTGCGTTTGGAGCTCTTTGTCATGGATGGTGGATACCCTCGCCTGTTGATGGTACCTTTCTCCCCTGGTCTTTGATGTGTCCTGCAGAAGCTGCTGCAGCCAATCAGAACCCAATCACCGCCCTCTGGTTCACCCTCCTCCAGATAGCTTGACCACTGCCACCCACGTTACCCTCCCAGCATCCACCCCAAGAGGGACAGTGAAGGTCACGTAGGGGACACTGAACAGGACGGTAAGTGATGCAGCTGCCCTGACCAGCAGGGGAAGCAGGAGAACTAGGGAGTTGGCCATGGAGCTGCTTCTGGTTCCCCAGCATGTTCCTTGCTCTTTCGCTGGGCTTCGTCCTCAGCTCAGCAGTTTAATTCCGTCCTCTCGCTCCCTCTGATCAGTTTTCGCTGTGGTGACGATGTGGATAGCAAAGCGTGTGCCACCTCAACCAGGTTTACATGTACAGTTCACTCGTGCCATCTTTGTCCAAATCCTTTGACCGCCATTAGCACAGACTCAGGGCCCTCCATGCAAACATCCCCTCCTTTACCCCTCCCTCCCGCCCCTGCTAATCACTAATAAGCCTGGATTTCAACGTACTTGCTTCTTTCATAGACGTGAGATCATACAATGTCTGTTCTCTTGTGACTACTTCGTTTGCTTAGCATGATGTGTTCAAGGTTCCTCCAAGTCCCAAGGCTTCATTTCTGCGTATGGCTCGTAGACGCCATTGGTGCATCAGCAGACTCCAGTTTGTTCATCCATTCATTGGAAGACAGGCATCGCGGTGGTTCCCCCTGGGCGATGGTTGCAGTGAACATCCGTGACCAGGTGTCTGTGTGTATTCCTGTCCTCACTTCTTTTTATTTTACTAATTTTTATTTACTTATTTATTTATTTTACATGATTGGCATGATCTATTTAAATTGGTTGAATTAAATTAGCGTAATTCACATATCCTACAATTCAATCGTTCAGTCACATCAAGAAGAGTTGTACAACCGTCAGCACCCTCACTTTGAGAACATTGTCTTCCTTCTTGTGCCCATCGTTATTCGCTTCCCATTTGCCCCCACCTCCCCTGCCATCCTGCCACAGCCCCCCTTCCCCAGGGAGCAATTAATCTAGTAACGATCTCTATAGGTTTAACTATCCTGGATTTCAGATACAGAAAAAGTTTTCAAAATAAAAATAACAAGAACAACAAAGTGAAACAGATTTTTTTTAAAGCTCAATCAAAAAGGAAGTGGAAAATATTAAAAACAATAACACATTTAAATAGATCAGAAGGGAGATCAAATGATAGACAGGGTGCTACTTTTTAACCTAACTGCATCTGTAAGGATCCACTTTCCAATGCATTTTGCACGACAGCAAGGCTACTCATACCCCTAGTCCGTGGCCAAAGGGGATTCGCCAAGGGCTTAATCAATATGTATTTCCCCTTCACTTAAAAAAAATTGTTTTTTAACCAAAACAGCTTTAAGATGGGTCAAAAGGGAGATCAAATGATAAGATGTTACATGGATCTAATTATGTGTGCCATCATCTTTACAATGCTCTCTGTCTGACCTCAGAACTATTCACATCCATCAACTATGATCAGAGGGGATCCACCAGAGGCTTCATCCAGGTGTGGACCCTGAAAATGGATCTTGGGCTTCCACTGTCATCCATAGCCTTCCGCCAACCAGGTGCTCACAATTTAAACTCTAACACCATTCCCTCCTTCAGATTTGGATTTTGTTATTTATAATCCTTGGCTCACACAGGCTGGTGTGCTTCTTCCATGTTGATGCCTCACTTAGATAGCTGCTTGTTTGAAAA